GCAGATAGTCCTCGTGTAGCTTTGCGCGAAATTCAAAACCAAATCAAACGCCGAAAGCTGACGAAACATTAGAAAGCAATGAGCTTAAAATTTAATTAAAAAGCACGTAAACTGGTACTAAACGAAAGACCTCTTAGGCAGTGACTTTTGGAAGACAAAAGATAAATCTGAAATGCTATTTTTACATGTCTCTGATTTTGAATCTGAAATGGACAAATTAAGTGGAATGCGGGAAAAAAAAATCTGCAGTTTATATGATTTTTATCTTTCTTTTTTTTAGCAGAATAACTCTTATATTTAAATGTATAATTTCCAAATTTGAGTTTTATTTCCTCTTTAATCTTTCCTTCATTAAAACAAATAATTTTCTTAAAGACGTATAATGATTTAATAGTTGTCGTTCTGGTAATAATCAGAATTTTTAAAGACAAACTACTGTCTTTATCTTGTACTCTTGAAATACAAAAATGTGAATTCCGAAGGCCCTTAACGTTTTCCCTTTTCACCTCAGTAATGTCACTTTTTACGCTTTGATTTTTAATACAAAATATCTTTTTATAATCTCATAGATCAATTCTAATTGATGATACCTAGATTTATACTGTAAACACATATAATTCCCACGCCACTAGAAATTCGCCCGCTGAATTATTTCCAGAGAAAACTTCTATTAGTCTTAATTTTCTAATAAACTCAGAGGTCCTCTAACTAAGGGTAAAAAAAAAAAGAGTGATTATAAGAATAATGAAATAAACAAACGAAACCTTAAGTTACTTCATTTCTATGTTTCTATGAAACCATTTGGTGGGGAATCCTCAACCAGGATGTCTAATATCTTGTGAGGCTTCAAATGAAGAACGTTTGGGAACTCCTTATATAACTTATCAGAAAGGTGAAAGAGAGTGCTTTCTCTAATTAAACGATTTAAGAAAAACAAAGGATCCTATTACAGAAACTAAGATTTTACAATATTTCTAATATTTTTAACTCTCCTATTGAAAATTTTCCCGTGTTTAATTTTCTTGAATGTTCAAATCTACATTTTTTTAACATATCATCGATTATCAAGATCTATGCGCGAAAATACGGTTAAATAAAAATCCAAGCCCGTAAAATGTCATCTATAAGGTCTACTTAATCATCCTTTTTAGTGTATTACTTATAGGTTTCAACCGTATTGCTATAAATTTCGCATGAACGTCAGACTACCGAGAAGTGGTTTTTAAGATCATGAAATCAGTAGTGTACTTTATATTTGTTACCATCATTTAGAGTGTGAATGACAAATCAATTTATAATTATATATAAGAATCGAATATGTATTATTTATTCAATTCGCTTCTGGAATTACTAAACACCCAGTACAGAGCTTTTTTTAACTTGTATTAGGAGGAAATGCAGCTTATTATATCATACGGATGCTTCATTTATTGAGTTTGTCTATTTTATCACCCACTGCAGACGTTTTGTTTTAAATTCAATTATACTTTGTATCGGTGGAGAATTACAAGTATATTTATATTAAAAAGTCACATTATTGATATGACGCAAATGCAAGTTCTATCATAAATTATATATGATAATCGATCTTGTAGTAGTAATGCCAGCCTTTGTCTTACACTCACAAAAACATCAAGTAAATCTTGCCAAAGGCTGTATTTATGCATACAGATACTTCCTATGTGTGTAGAGTATCTTCATCCCAAAGAATGATTTTAATATATCCAACACTTCAGATTTATTTGCATCTTACTGTGCCACTTGGTTACACAGGCACAAAAAAGTACGTTCAAAACTGTTGTACCGATACTCCAATGTATTGAACTTTGATAAAAACAGGACATTTTCTTTCCCTTATTTTAAGCGCTATTTAAATAATATCTTACAGTTTGAGTTAGTAGGTTTCTAATAAAAATAGCATACTAAACCACCACAGAAATACCCTGACATATATTATATAAGTACTAGCGTATAGCCCGTCAAAAATGACGGGGCAAGTATTACCACCCCCACCCCATAGTATACCCTAACCTCACATTTCATAGTTAACTGAAATAAATAAATTTAACAAATTCAAGCTTGACCAACAAAGAGGCAGAAAAGTGCAGTCGAGACAATCAAATGTCGGAAAATTCCTTTGTGAGCCACTCAAAATTAAAATCATCCATGAAATGAATTCGCGTCGTATTCATAGAATAATGACTCTTAAAAATCAGTTAGATTAACAACTTCTAAATACATAAAAAAAGCCAACGCGTTTTAGTAACACTACGTTCCAACAATGGTTTTTTATGTCATGTTGCTTAGTAACAAAAGTATAACCTAATATAAATGAAACGTATCGACAACAAAATTGAAAAATATTTGTTGATTTCTTAATTCAGAGTCTCCGTGTATTAAAGAAGTTTGTGTTTGTTAAAAATGTTGGTGATATAACAGAAAATACCTTACTTTAGAAACGATTAAAGTTTAAAATTGGATCGATATCTTTACTTTCATGATCAATTTTATGCACTTGGCTCTAGGCTAAGTGATCCCACACCAAGTCTATATTTTAGGCTTATTATACCAACACTCACTATACTTATAAGGTTTCACGGCACCCCCGTCATTAAAATAATATAATCGAACTATTCTATCTGGGTAAATACATTTTGGCTTTTATGACTCCTTCTATTTCGAGAAATCAAGCGTGACGTGACACACACGGGCCTTTTTTCATATAGCTTAGATAACTGATATAAGTTTTTAATTGCATCTTCAGCGTTTACTTACAATTACATGTCAAATCAAACTGATGAAATGTAAAAGAATGGAAGTGACATATAGCAATTTTTTGTAGTTTTCCACTAAATTTTGAAGTGTCAGTAGACGTGATTATTTTAACAAGTATGTGATAAGCTAAGACGTTGAACTATAAGTAAGAAAAACTTTTTCTTGAGAAAAGTAAAGCATTGCCATTTCACTTTCAGACATACGTGATTTATTAATAACGAATGTTTTACTTCCAGATTAAACAGAAAAACTTTGGAAAATAAATATATGACCAAATGAGATTCGAAAACTTTTAAATGCGTACTTACTCTACTGTCTTCTTTCAAGATACTGTTCAAACCTTGGGAAAACAGACAAAACATGGGTTTAAAAAGGCTTCGGAGACCAAAAGGAACAAGTGTGAATAGATTTCAAGATTTTAAGGACTAGAAACACAATTCTGATTAGATCCGTACACCCTTCAGTGATTCATTGCATGCTGTATACAAATACGCTTTACCCCTTCTTTTAATTGTAAGTTTTCACTAGCAAAATATTTTATTATTCGAAAGGTACTAGTAATATTAAAAGCGCTATTTTTATA